TTATTAGTAGGTGGTCAGAATGTTATGGCTGATCGGTATATATATTATATATATAGCAATAATTCTGCTTTAATTTTTATTTAAATATTCCTGCTCATTTTAAATTTGAAATCTATACTGTACTATGGTATAACATTTTATAACTCACCCTTCATGCAAGGAATCGCTGAACATTTTAGAAATGGTTTTCAGTCATCACCTTTTTTTTCAGGCTTTCCTGGGTTTCATCACCTTTAAAGCACAGCCTCTGTTATCTGGACAGCAGGGTTTCTAAATAATTGCTCTCCTGAGTATAAAGAGAAATACATTAGCATCATTCTTTTTTTATGGCTTTTTATGGCTCTCCGTAGAACATTTTATTTCGCCAGTTTCAGAGGTCTCGTACAGTGTGATACTAAACTGAATCAGGAGCGGATGCACTGACGTTTTTTTGTGGCTGCGCACATCTCATCATGGAAATTTGAAGACGGTTGATCTCCTACAGTTTGCATGCTCCTGTTGGTAGATGGTTAAAAATATGAATATGCATTTCTTATGCCTTTTAGAGCATGCTGGTTATACTAAACCGTAGAGGAAATACACCATTTGGCCAGACGTATGTGGACACATCCCCAAATGATTGAGTTGAGGTGTTTCCAGTGAGGGGTACTGTTACTGCTACAACATACAAAGACATTTCAGACAGTTGTGCTCTTCCAACCTTGCAGCCTAGTTTGGGGAAGACCCTTTGTTTGTTCCATGACTGCTCCAGGTCCATAAAGACATGATTTGACCAGTGTGGTATGGAGGAACTGGCCTACACAGAGTCCTGACCTCAACCCTACGGAACAACTTTGGGATGAGGTTTGTAAGTATGGATGAGCCCAGGGTGGAACAAAAGGGTGTGCAAACTGTCTTATAGATGAAGGCAGCTCAAGGGTTAATCATCGGCTGGGACAAACCACAATGTCAAGATTTTTAAAGAAAAAATATCTATTTATTTCTAATCAAAGACATGCAAAAAACCTTACTGAACACACTGCTGACAGTTTCCTGTCAAATGGTTAAAAAACAATGTCTGGTCGGGCTGACTTTGATCGGTGGTGAGGTGGATAGATGTACCCTTGATTGGCTGTACATGTATCTCCTATATTTCTGAGGTCTGTGGGTTATTTTAGATACTAGTATGTATCTTATTTGTTCTTGTTTAGTAACTATGATTTGGATGTTATCCGCATATCTTTAAGCTATCTCCAGTCTACGTGACCCCTCTTGAGCTCCTCCAAGCCGAGAGGTAGCTCCTTCCTCACATGGAAGAAAGTTCCTTCCATGCTGCCCAATCAGCTGTGGGTGGAGAATTTCCCACATGCAGGTTGATGTAAGCAAAAGTATGAGGTGCAGTGATGTAATTGAGCTTTTTTGGGACCTACATAGCAATATTAGATTAATGACAGGGGTGTAACAATTTTTTTTTTTTAATTCTTTTATTTAAAAGTTCATAAAATTATTTACAGAAATAATACTTCAAACAACATCAACAAAAAACCCAACAAAACCATTTTTCTCATGATTCAGCTTTTAACATGTTTTCCAAAACAAAAATGCTCACTAGTCCACAAGGACTTTTAATACAAAATACACAAAAACGCATAACACAATACATCCTCCCCCCACCAACACCCAACACCAACCACCACCCCCAGCACTGAAAAACCAACCAATCAATGAAAAAGCTTTCACGATGCGTCTTCTTGCCTTAGAACGAAAAAGGTCTGAAAACAGAAAAACCCATTAATACCATAGCACACACATAGTAAAATAATTAAACAACATTCACACATACCATGCACCACACTTATTACAAAACCCTGCTCAAAACCAATACCTCCAATGCCTAAAGCACCAAATCTTCTGGGCCTCCTCCAATCCCAGTTTCTTTACGTCACATTGTCCATGGAGATACAACCGTCCACGGACCATAGCCACACAGTCTCTTACACTCACAACCTCATTCTTAAACACCAAAATATTCCTCACATCCCACAAACTTTCTTTCACACAACAAACCAACAACCATAAAATCCTTTTCTCCACCTTCCCTAATTTGCATAAACCATACACCACCATCTCATACGTCACCCTCCCCACCCCCGTCAGCCCCTTTACCAAAGTCTCCACACACTTCCAAACATCCTTCGCATACCCACACCCCCATATTGCATGAACCACATCCTCACACCTACCACACCCCTCTCTCGGACACACCTCACTATCTACCAACCTCCTTCTCCGTTGAAACACTCTCGTTGGCAAACAGCCATGCACAATCATCCATGACACATCCATCTGCTTATTTGACAGATCCTTACTACACACATTCCTCCACACCTCTTCACTTTCAACAACCGTCAAACCTCCTATCACCTCCAATTCTTCCCTACCTTCCACCTTAAATCTGCCTCCAGTTCTTCAGATCCCGTTTATCACCCTTCTTATACAATAACACAATAACCCCCTCATACATCGACTCTGCCAACCTTCCACGCTCCAAAACCTCCCTACATACCTCCACCACCACCACCACGTACTCCCCAATAACCTCCCAAAACACACAAAAGAACTCCACCGGTAGACCATCACTTCCCGGGGACTTCCCCTTACTCATACCCCTCATACACCTTTCCAGCTTTTTTGGGACCTACATAGCAATATTAGATTAATGACAGGGGCGTAACAATAGCCATAGCAGCCCTTGCGGCTGCTATGGGGCCTGGAGGTGGAAGGGGGCCCCATGAAGGATTGCTGAAGTTGCTGTTGACCCTGTGCCCCTTATGGCATTTGCAATCAAGAAGAGTTAAGACAGCTCTCCTGCTACCTGTCCTTGATTTAGATTTGAAAGGGTTTGCCATGGGGCCCTATTAAAATTCTGCTATGGGGACCCATGGTCTGTAGTTACGCCCCTGGTTAATGACATACACCTAATATGGTCATGTGGCCATACAAGGTAAATTACATCAGCACAAGCATCCCGCCCCTTTGCTTATGGTCAGTTTTGGGGGAGGTAATACCCTGACCCACAGCTGAAAGGAGGCCTGTGTAGCTTCCGTGTTCGGATGAGCTCAGGTTTGAACCATGTGTGTTCTGAATCTGAGCTCATCTCCAGCTACAGTATAAGCCACATCTTCTCATCCTACATCAATACCTGACCTAAAAATATCACACTCTCATTAAGAATGAAGAAAATGCAAATGAGAGTGTAAAGATTATCCAATGGCAGGGCATTTTAATTAGCATGTAAGGCCACAATTTACTAGAGACTCACAGGCAGTTGTTTTCCTACAAGAATTAAATTACCACAGAGGATACCGCAGTGTAAAACTGACGGGACAGTTTTAATCAGTGGCAGCACAGTTTTAATCAGTGGCAGATCAGGGAGAATAGGCCTAACTAATGTACGCCAAACTTTAATTTTTACTATAAGGATGGGAGTTAACAGTGAATGTTTGTGATATAATAGGACTTGGTTTAGGTGCATGCTGTTTGGACTCTTTGTTTTAAATGATGCCGTGAAAAGACGGCTCCAGGAACAGATGGTCATCAATTAGCTTTGAGCTTGCCAAACCTAAAAAATAGGTCCTATCAACATCTCAATATACCCCTAGACCCACCAATACCACCCTCCAAAACAACATGATGGCTGCTCTGTGCCCTTCCTTTTATAGTGAGAGAAAGGCCCCCCTAATGACCCTTGTTCAAGGTTTTCTCTCTCCTTGTGCAGGGTGACTGGTCTTGTCTCCGCCCCCTCTTGTAATAAAGACCGCTCACTGCTGCTCTCTCTCCTTGTGCAGGGTGACTGGTCTTGTCTCCGCCCCCTCCTGTAATTGAGACTGGTCACTGCTGCTCTCTCTTCTTGTGCAGGGTGGCTAATCTTGTCTCTGCCCCCTCCTGTAATAAATAATAGTCATTACTGCTCTCTCTCCTTGTGCAGGGTGACTGGTCTTGTCTCCGCTCACTCATGTAATTGAGACTGGTCACTGTTGCTCTCTCTTCTTGCGCAGGGTTACTGGTCTTGTCTCCGCCCCCTCCTGTAATAAAGACCGGTCACTGCTGCTTTCTCTCCTTGTGCAGGGTGACTGGTCTTGACTCCGTCCCATCCTGTAGTGTTCTGCAGGTAGTGGGTGGGGCCTGTTGTGTCCCTCCCACATCTCTGCTCTCTGTACAGCACAGTAATAATGCCTCCGCTACTTTTACAAATCCATGAAATCCTGAAGTCTGGCAGCCTGGGAAGCAACAGTAAACTTATGGATAATATTATGAGTGGGAAAAGTTCCTAGTTTTACTTTTTTTTTGTTTTGTGTTAATTTTCAAATTGGGTATTTTCCTTACAGAAATTGCGGACAGAATTTACACTCTGTACAATGGATACACCAGCGGGAAGGAGCAGCAGATAGCCTACAACACGTTGATGGAAGTGTCTGCGTCAATGCTTTTTCGAGTCCAGCATCACTATAACGCGCTCTACGAGAAGTTCGGAGACTTTGTGTGGAGAAGCGAAGATGAGCTGGGACCCCGGTAAGGAGACAGTTGCACTAAATGATGCCATGCCCCTGCTGTCGTTGCTCCAAATCTACCAAAAATATGCCAGATATTATGACAACCCTTATTTGCCATGGCCGGCATCCCAGATTAGTAAGAGCTGGGCAGGGAGATGTGTAAGGGCCATGCACATCTCCCTGCCCGGCTGTTATCAAACTGGGACACTCCGGCTCTTAGCAACCTAGGAATGCTGTGGCCGGTGATGTCACTAGTTGCCAGGAGCTGGGCGGGATGCTGCCTAGAGCATCCCAGGTTGCTAAGAACTAAGCGGGGAAGATGTGTAAGGGCCATACACATCTCCCTGTCTGTTAGCAACCTGGGAACACTCTGGGCGGTGATGTCACTGGTTGCCAGGAGCTGGGCGGGATGCTGCCTAGAGCATCCCAGGTTGCTAAGAACTACGGTAAGCGGGGAGATGTGTAAGGACCATACACATCTCCCTGTCCGGCTGATAGCAACCTGGGAACACTCTGGCCGGTGATGTCACTGGTTGCCAGGAGCTGGGTGGGATGCTGACTAGAGCATCCCAGGTTGCTAAGAACTGGGTGGTGAGATGTACAAGGGCTATACTAAATTCCCCGTCTGGCTCTTAGCAATCTAGGATGCTCTGGCTGGTGTCCCATCCAGCTCCTGGCAGCCAGTGATGTCACTGGTTGCCAGGAGCTGGGCAAGACACTATAGGCGCAATTGTTTCTAGATGCACCTGTGCTCACATGTTCTTTGATCTGATCCTGAATGTTTTTTAGTTTTATTATGCTCGCTAAAGCTCTTTCCTATTCAAGACTCAAGATATGAAATGAGTCCTGGATATCCTTCCATGAAGGTCTTTGTTCAGGCACCTCCTGGTATAGGGTGACAGTGGTCTGTCCTTGTCTCCCAACTGGCCTTTTGTGTTGTCACCCTTTCACATATGCTTCCGGTTGTGACTTTAAGCACTCGTGCCAATGCTCAGTGCTCAGGTTCATTCTGTTGTTGCCACCATTAGGAAACCCATCCTAATATATGTTGCTGCTTCTTCCTCTCACACTCCAGCCCAAGAAACTGGTACCAGGTCTTAGTCAGATACTTACATTGCTTGCCTTTAAAAAATTTTTTTTAGTTTGTGTCCTCCGGTTACCCTAAGGAGAACTATGGGGAAAAACACTGACCCCATACTTCTCCTTTAATGATCAAGGAGCCACATGAATTTTCGACTTTTGTATCTGTCTAAAAGCTTGAATTGATAGAACTCTGATAGGGTCCCTGTAGGGTCATTATGATACTTAAATTCCCTTGTGTTCCCTCCTTCGTAGCAAAGCCCACTTGGTCCTCCGAAGACTTGAAAGAGTAAGCAGCCATTGCTCCGGACTCCTCAGAAGCGCGCACATCCAACGCCGGATAGACAACATTCCTTACCTAATCTGCCACAGCGAAGACCTGCGGACCTCAGGCTTCGTTTTGTACAGCATTTTAAAAGACAGCAAATTCACGTGCGAAGAGAAAATGGTCTCCATGCCTCGGAACACTTACGGAGACTCCAAGGGCCGATAATCGCGGGGCCAAGGAACCAACCTCGCTCCGAAGGGACTGGCAAGAGCTCTGATGGTCGTGCCAGGGTAAAACGTCATAAGCAGCCAAGAAACAGTGACTTTTATTACTTGAGGACCGATAAGGTGCTATGGAGATACATACTCATTTTTAAGAAACCTTCAAAAAGACAGAGAAACCTTTTTTTTTTTTTTTTTTAAAGGAATATTTTGTTAATTGCCACGAAGAGTACCAGCAAAGCCGCTACTACACAATGTACTCCTTGGACGGAGGTGTTACAGATCTTATATTTTTCTTTGCCTTTTGATTTTACAATTAGTGTGGAAATGATGCAGGGAATTTTATATTTTTTTCTTTTCTTGCTTTTGTAGTTCACTTAAACCTGCTCAGTCCTGTTCATATAGTTCTACAACCTGTGTGCATTAAACATCTTCCTACAACACAATAGTTGTGTTGACTGCCTGTTCCGATGGAGGGGACGGTACAAATGTTATGTATCATTGTAAATCTAATGAAGAAGAGGTCTTAAAGTGATATTAAAGCTTCGGGTTTAAAAAAAAATAAAAAATGTCCCCATTTTCAAGTGGGTCCCCGCTGTGCTCTTCCCCCCGCCCCCTGCACGGGTGCCTCCATCAGCTAATGGAGGCACCCGTGCGCACTGGTGCCTGCAGTGGCTGTGTGCGTCCATAGACACATACACACAGCCCTGTGGGTGCCTCCATCACACGCAGCCCTGTGGGTGCCTCCATCACACACAGCCCTGTGGGTGCCTCCATCAGTTAATGGAGGCACCCGTGCGCACTCATGCCTGCAGTGGCTGTGTGCATCCATAGACACACACAGCCCTGTGGGTGCCTCCATCACACACAGCCCACACAGCCCTGTGGGTGCCTCCATCAGTTAATGGAGGCACCCGTGCGCACTCATGCCTGCAGTGGCTGTGTGCATCCATAGACACACACAGCCCTGTGGCAGGACATGCCCCTCCTCACCGCCCAACATTTTGATTGACGGCAAAAGGAGCCCATGGCTCCTCTGCCATCAGTATCCTCCCCCTGTAACCAGGAAGCTTGGGAAATGGAGGATTGCTTCGGCACTGGCAGCGGGGACGAGCGTCACTGATGGGTAAGTGTGGGTGGGGCGAATACTACTTTAAAGGGTAAGTTCAGATTTGTGGGGGTAATTTCAGTTTCTCACGTTTGGTGGGTAACTGGAATTACCCTTTAACAAAGCATCTACACTGGGATCATTTGTTGCCTTTGCCTTCCAAGTTGGACATGCACCAGTTGAATTTTATGGGATCAAATCAACTACTGATTTCGATCACAGTAATGCAAAAAAAAATCTAAGGCCCTTTTCAGATGGGTGGTCCGATCAGGTCCACCTGTCAGTTTTTCAGGTGGACCCGATCGGATGCCCAATGTAAGTCTACGGTGTCGGTTTACATCCGTTTACCTCTGGATCCTGCCCGAAAAAACAAACAAAACAGCGTTCCATTTCTCTAGACCTCCTGCTGGATCTATGGTAATCTGATGTAAACTAACACATGTCCGTTTAGACCCCCCCCCCCCCACAGACTGACATGGGGTCCGGTGATTTCATTTTTTAACTCCATTGCAGGATGAGATAGGTGGCTGTTATTGATGCTCATGGGGGTAATCTAGGCCAGTGGTTCTCAACCTGTGTAAGCTCGGGACCCACATTTGTCCTGGCTCATTAAGTCTCAATGAAAGTCGCACTGAAATGTTCCATGTTACGGCATTGCGCTTTCCAGTGCAGGCGATCGAAATGTGGGTGGGATGTGCATTTGGGTTGCCATTACGGAAATTGTGGATCCTCAACCTGGGGTCCAGTGTGGGCTGCTGTGCTGTGAAGGAGCTTCATCCATATGTGCATTGCTTGTACAGCTCCCATGCACGGGTGCCAGAAAGTGATGAGCTGTAAGCAATGCACGTATAAATGGAGCTCCCTCGCGGCCATAGCCCCACCTCACCCCACCTCAAGCCGACACTCGGCATCGGCCATCATATTTTTCAATGGCAGCTCGGTGCGAGAACTGACAGTGCTTCTCTAGGGGGAGGCTGAGGATACTCTCACATGGAAAAGTGGAAGGCATGTGGCGACCCACAGGACATGGGGTCGCGACCCACTTTTGGGTCACGACCCACTAGTTGAGAACCAAGAATCTAGATGATTGTGTACCTGACAGTATTAGAATCTCAATACGCAATAAAGTGAAAGACTTATGACCCAAAATATAGAGGTGAAGTCAGCAGAGATTCCTGTGGTGAAAGAAGAAACTTGAGGGGTTTCAAAAGGTATTGCGTTCATACAACAGTTAACAACACCATCAACACGTGTTGTGTCTCTGCAATGGCCACGTCATCAGGACAAGTGTATAAAGCACTTTAGGGGCACTCAGACTGTGTGCACTGGAGAGGCCCGAAGTGTTCTGTTCACAGAAGACTTGTTCATATTTGTCTGTTTTCCTGCTGTGAAACATATGTAGAAATCCCATTGATTCTTAGGTGGCTAGCAGACATCTAATAATGAGTGTTATTGCATATACATAAGTATGAAAGGACCCTAGGGATCCAAACTGAATTTCTGCATGGTGGCCTCCAGCTGGCTTTCTCCACCACTAATACCATACGAAGAGTGGAGCAGTGTGTGGGAAAGAATGTATTGCACAGTTTGCAGAGGAGGGCCATGCAAAGTACAGACCACACAGCACAGGGTGGTGCACAGAATATACAAGGGAGTGTACAAATGGACCTTGACATGGTTTCCAGATATGGGTCTGCAAAGAACACATTAAGTGGATGATATTGGAACCCATCTACAACTCCACAGTTCTCATTTTTATACCTGACACTCATTGCCTAAAGCCTTCTTGTACTTAATGAAGCAGAGAAACCCTGGCAGCCTCTGTATCACACCTTGGTCTTCAACCCCTGCCCAAACCTCTTGTCCCTGTGCCCAGTAGCTTTGAAAAGTTTTGAAAGTGATCCAGGTGGACAAGCTGGCTATTTTATAACCATGGAACCAGGAGCCAAAGTACTCTCCTGTCCCCTGAATCCTATACAGGTGGTGTGCCCCCGGAGCCTTGCCACCCTTTCAGCCTTTGCAAGAACTGGCAACATGACAAAATACCCACCTATTAGGCTGGGGTGCTGCAAAGTGCTTGGGGTGCTTCAGGGTGTCTCAAGTTTTGAAAGTGAGCCAGGTGGACAAGCTGGCTACTTTATAGCCATGGAACCAGGAACCAAAGTACTCTCCTGCCCCCCCTGAATCCTATACAGGTGGTGTGCCCTAGAGCCTTGCCACCCTTTCAGCCTATGCAAGTACTGGCATCATGACCTTCAAAGTACCCACCTATTATGCAGGGGAGCTGTAAAGTGCTTGGGGTGCTTCAAGGTGTCTCAAGCTTTGAAAGTGAGCCAGGTGGGCAAGCTGGCTACTTTATAGCCATGGAACCAGGAGCCAAAGTACTCTTCCGCCCCCCCTGAATCCTATACAGGTGGTGTGCCCCAGAGCCTTGCCACCCTTTCAGCCTATGCAAGTACTGGCATCATGACATTCAAAGTACCCACCTATTATGCAAGGAAGTGTTTGGGGTGCTTCATGGTGTCTCAAGATCTACAGACCCAGTCACTCGTTTGCTGCAAAACACTGTATGTACAATGATAGTATGTCATATATGTGGATCTCACTGCAGGAGTCTACTTCTGGATTTACATATGAACTAACGCACCAAGGCAAAAGCCCACAAACAAGCAAAAGTTGATATGCCTCATAAGAAGAACATGCTATACTAACTTTTCATCTAGTAATGTCACCTGCCGGTCTATTGGAAGCATCTAGAAGCTGGGGTCCAAGGGGCTACAATGTAACGGTGGTAATCTGCCAAAACTCCGAACCTGGTGACGCCATATTAAAGTATTGGCCATCTGTAGCCATCACCTTTCAGCTTGGAGATGCCAGTCAACTGAAGCCGTTACGTTAAATTAGACATCCCCATACTGTACATCCCAATGGGTGTTCTATAATATTACTGTATATCACAAATGCCGAGCATGTTATCTAGGGTAATAATTCACGCACTGTATTTTAGGCAACCCGAGTAATGGACCTTTCCACCTCAAGAATAGTCTCAACAGGTCATCGGCACACACACAGATGAATTGAATATCTCTTGGATATATCTATTAAAGAATGTCACGACATGTCATTAGAAGCTGAAGCTAGCGTTTCAGGTCCTCGCAGGGACCCTTCATCAGAGCGACATAGTGACATCACTATGTGGCTTAGCTGAAGGGTCCCTGCGAGGTCCCGAAACGCTAGCTTCAGCTTCTGATGACATGTCGTGACATTCTTTAATAAACAAATCCAACATATACCGTATTTGCCGCCGTATAAGGCGACTGGACGTATAAGACGACCCCCTACTTTTTCTGTTAAAACATAGGTTTTGGGCTATACCCGTCGTATAAGACGAGTATAGCCCAAAATAATGTTTAAATGCACCCACTAACCTCCATGGCGGTATTCCCGAGTGTGGCTCGGGGGTTAGTTTTCAGTACCATAAGCGGTAACCCCGAGCCACACTCGGGATTACAGTCTCTTACCGTGTCCACGATCCCCGCTGTGTCATCTCAGCGCTGAGCCAATCACGCCAGGCTGTGTATTCATTAATACAAGGCCTGGCGTGATTGGCTCAGCGCAGTATACTGTATGTAGCCGAAGCTGCTGTACATACAGTATTACCGCACAGCCCTACCCGGCGTATAAGATGACCCCCGATTTTCGGGGGATGTTTTTAAGTCTAAAAACTCGTCTTATACGCCGGCAAATACGGTAATTAAAGGAGAACTATGGGGTTAAGGCTTTTTCACACAGTTCTCCTTAGGGTAACGGGAGGACACAAACTAGCGTCCTCCCGTCACCCTAGGCTCAGTATATAGGGAGCTGTAGCTCGCGGTATACTGAGACGCCGCAGCTGAAGCGGATCCCGACAATTGTGCCGGGATCCGCCCAGCAGCGTGACTGACAGCTGGCTCTGCCTATCTAGAGGCAGAGCCAGCTGTACCCGCCCCCTCCCCCGTCAGTTCCGCCAGTCAGCGCTGGTGGATCGGAGCGGGGGGGGGGAATCCATCCCCTCCCCTGTC